CATGGGTTCCCTTGTGAATGGTGCAGCCCTTGCAATGCCGATGAAACTCGCCCGAGAACGCACACGATTCAATATTTAAGCCATAATAACGCCATATCTAGGCCGTTTTCCGACCTGAAAGTGCCACTTATGGCATACGAGGGGCTTCGAATTAATTTTATGGGAGAACGTCAGAAACCATCTTGAGCTGTCCCTTTAAAAGGCAGGAAAGGCTTCCGAACCGAAAGCTACTGTTAAGTCGATGAGCTGTGCGTTAAGCCTGTGAAGAGAACCCATGAAGCTTTTTCTCTCATAAAGTACACATTGGTTGAATAATACAGAATTATAAATTATTTTTATTTACAGTACCCGTATAATGAATTTCGCAATATTCCATCACCCTCATTGATATTCTACGTTGTATGTTCTGAATATGTTCCTAAACATTTTTATCTAATGGAATGTTTAAACACAATTGGTGTAGATGTTGATGACGTTGTCTTTGCTCAGTAGGGTGGCCTAAACAACAAGTCCTGCCTAGTGTGGTATATAAGCGACCAGAAACAATGGCTCTTCAGAAGTCTTCCTAACACGTCTCAGCTTTCTCCAACCCACCGATACACTGCAAAATTGACAACGGTCCTGCTTTTTCCAAAATTTCTTCATCTTCGGTGTTTCTTAAAGAGCCTTTTCAACCTACGATATCGACCAGCTGCATCTCTTAAAATATCTACTGAACTGGCAGATAAACAACCTGTCGTTCTTCACAATAGCCCTACCTCCGATGTTCATTGACGGTATGGGAGAATGATATAGAAGCTCCGAATATATTCATAGAGCTACCCGCTTTTTTTGTAGAGCTAACCTCCAGAGTGCAATGACGGCAGCAACAGCAAAAGCCAGTAAGATTCTCAAAGACGTCGGAGCCACGAAGATCTGGCACCTGCCTTGCTACCATTTGTACTGCCACAACTTGTACCTCTCCAAAATAGCAGCTGATTCACTTGAGCCTAGATTCGCACCCAAATTCCCCCATCCTCTTGCTGTGTTGTCTTTCAAAGACTGTACTCTCCATTACCAGCTCAAAAAGCTGGTCAGTTTCGGTTGTGACAACGCGAAAGTCGTCCTTCTTTCTCGAATAGTGACTGTGCAATATTTCAGATGAACTTACCTATTCTCCTACTATTTTTGGTGTCGGCTGCCGCTTTCCCCAGACAGGTGAGCTTTGATGCATTTCGAGGCCTACTGTAGCAGCTTTACAAAAAAATAACCCCTATGTGAAGGAGCTTCAAAGCCAAGGCTAAGCCCATCCAGAATCTCAGTGTCACACGAAGTGCCGCTTTCTGAGACGAACCCTATGGCGTCACTTCTCACAAAACGGGACTGTTTCAGTGTCGCTTTCTGCCAAGTCGAACTCCGCCCAGAGAAACTGGGACTATGGAGGCTAATGACTTCACCACTAGTAAGGAACAATGCCTCGATACACTGCCTTTCGGGGATGATAAAAATTAGGATGGGGAAGCTGATCATTGTCACGAAAACTAAAAATTTTTGGCCACCATGAAATTATTTGTTTGTCTGGAATAGGAGAAATGGGATGGGAAATGTAGGTGGCCATTAAATAGTCTGTTTGTATATTTCAGAAACGTGACAATGGTGCAACAATCAACCCGGCTCCAACAACAACATCGACGACCACACCTACAACAACAACAACAACACCAACGACTACACCTACAACAACACCACCCAACTGGCCACCGTATGGCCCCTGGCCGTGGCCTCCTTATATGCCTTCTCCATACGGTCCCGGTGGGCCTGGAGGACCTGGAGGACCCTATCCGCCTCTACCACCTCCACCGCCACCACCACCGCCACCACCACCGCCACCAATGCCTTGGTGGGGTCCTGGTGGCTTCCAACAACCTGGACCAATGGGACCATGGGGTGGACCGATGGGACCATGGGGTCCACCAGTTGGCCCAATGGGAAGACGGCGTGGACGGTGGAACAGACGGTGGTAGGTACGGGCGATCAAAAGAGGACGTCCTATCACAAAGTACCTTATGACGCCATCAGAGTGATATTCTCGTGCTGAGATAAAAAATAAAAGTTTTATATTCAGGTGAACTCATAAAACGAGATCACGAATAGCAACAGCCGGAATCCACTGCATTTGTTTGGAGGAGGGTGCTAGGGAATTCATATCAGGGACTTCTTCTTGAACGGTTTTTTCCCTGTCCCACTTCCTATAGATCCATCCCACTTCTCGTGCCGCGAATCTAGAATGGGTGATTTCTGTCAGATTCCAGCGTAACCAGACTCACGGGAAGATGAAAGGCCCAGTCGACCCCTATAGGTCAGAAATTATTGATACGGGACTGTTCTTCGATCCCCTTGCCGCTCCCTGGGGACGATCGGAGAACAGTTAGTTGGCTTACCCATTTCCGTTTGGTGTCTATACATAAGGCGTCGCCGTACATGAAGCTACTTTGAATAGAGAATTTCTTTTCAGAAGAGAGCAGCAGCGAGAAAATTTCTGAGTCATTCGCTTACAGGACTTTCGTAGCGGCATAGCACTGCCATAAAAACCTATCTACAGCAGCATCTGGAAGTCGTGGGAATGTGACTGTTCCGCGGACTGTTTACCCCCGCAGAGGAGCAAGAGGGCCTCAAATGGCGCTGCAAATGCCGACGCAGACAGAGAGATTGACTACTACCGAATCAAGCGTGTTCTCCTTTCCTAAAATCCCAGTTCATCCTTACCAGTATTGTCCAGGTCTCAATGTTTGGTAGGGCACTGAATTCGGTGAGGAATACTGACCTCAGAAAACTGATTGTGAACTGAGAAATGCAGAAGAAACGCCAGAATGTTGGAGGAGCTGAGATCGCACAACCATAACTTTCTCCAAAACGTTCTAGACACCCGGAAGAAAAATGGGCGGACGGTGCTGGAGGAAAGATGGTCTATTCGTCATGGTGGCTTGAAAGTGTACTGTGCTGGGCGCAGATGATGTCAAAATACACAAATCTGCCCAAGAACGTTTCAGAATCATGACAATTACTTATTACTCATGAAATCATCACTATTATCTATTATAAATAAAGATTTCGTTCTTGGTTGTCTTTCTAACGCAACATTTTGTCTGAGGAAGCGCCCGAAGTTCAGTATGAGTAGGGCATAGACCATGGTGAAAAGAGCTTCAACAAACTTCACACACGAGTTTGGTTCATGAAACGGAATGGGACGTACAAAAGGAAAAGTTTTGTGAATACCGGGAAAATTATCAGAGGCTAATAGTGGGTCATTCGATAAAGTGAAGCGAAGGAGACAAATTCGTGGTGGGCGGAGCGTCCTTACAGTGGGCTGTACTTACCACGCCAATTCATAAATCGATTCTACCACAGTCCTTAGGCTGCATTTTTGAGGGTTGCAACCATATATGATTGAAAATCAATCAAAAAGAAGAGGACAAGAAAACACTTCAATTGACGATTGTAGAGCATGCATCAGCCTTTCGCAACTTCTCATAAATTGACAGTACACATCAGTTTTGGGTTTTCTCGAAGCTCTTTCAAAAGCCCTTTGCATGCTTCAGAACGGTCGAGAGCCACCTGGTCAAATATCAAATAAATGCTTGTCGTCAAATATGTAGCAGTTGCCGATGCTACCCAGGATCGCAGAATCCCTTCAAGGAAGATTGTATATACCGATGCTAGTGGTAGTTTCACTGCACATGAGTTCATTGTCGAGATAGAAGCCGGGAAAGTCTCCTGGCCAAAAGCTTATCTCGTTAGTCGCTCTCAAAACTAACAGAAAATTGTGCCGTGCACTTTTGTTAGTAATGCCCACACATTTCTGTTAGTCAGGCCGGTGAAGTTTTTCCTTTCATTGATACACAAATTTTTGCATTTTAAACAATTCAAATATACAAGTTCTATACATTGTTGTACTCGAATTTGATGCAGCGGAATGAATTTTGCAGGATACCATGAGTGAATCACCGTTATTGATGTTCCCTACCGTTTAGTGATGTTTCTATGCACTTTTATCCAATCAACTGTTTAAATATGACTGATCTAAATGTGGGCGACGTCGTCTTTGAACAGTAGCCCCAGGAAACAGGTGCTGGCTGATGTTATATAAGAGCGACCGAGACCGGCGGCTTTTCAGAAGCTTTTCAACCCTCCCTATCTATCTTCCACATAGGGGAGCGATGATCCTGCTTTTTAGAACAGTAGCCCCAGGAAACAGGTGCTGTCTGATGTTATATAAGAGCGACCGAAAACGGTGGCTTTTCAGAAGCTTTTCAGCCCTCCTTATCTATCTTTCACATAGGAGAGCGATGGTCCTGCTTTTTATTCGAAAGCTCTTGTTTCGTTTCTCTTCTGAGGCCTCCCTAACATATGATGACCAGGTATAGCCCCTAGAAATGTTAGCGGGATGGAATGGAAACGGGAATCTCCCACTTTGTGAAAACCCTATGAAGACAAGGAGAAGAAGAGAAATAAGTCTTCCTTCCTTTTCACATACCTTGGGAACACAAATTAAGCAAGGCCCCAAATAGGCTGAGCCTAAACAATGTGTAAGGTTACAGGTGATCAAAGCAAGTAGAGGTTCAGCTGGGTACTTGTTCCAGGCTTTGAAAACACCTCCACCCAACACAAGCTCTTCTTCCTTCCCACCTTTTGCCAACATATATCCCTTCAGACGTTGAAAAAGTGCCTCATTCTTTTTGTGCACACCCTCCTTCTAGGTGGTCCAGGAAGAAATTAGTGATGGCCAACACCTAATCTATTAAGCGCAACTCCAACCATTACTGCTATTGAATGATTATGTAATATTCCAGATGAACTTATCCATTCTTGTACTATTTGTAGTGTCGGTTGCCGGATTTCCCAGACAGGTGAGCTTTGTTTTCCTTCATGACCCACTCTGTGAGGACAAGACCTTGAATATAAACCGCATCTTCATCAGTCGAAAACAGGTGTCATTTTGAAACAAAGAAGACAAAAGATGAATAAGATCTGAGATCATACGAGGTTTTCACCTTTACGAGGGTAGGCCTGCAGCGTTAACCCACTCAAGGAAGCATTGGCACCTTCTCCTCTTACTATTTGTAGTGGTGTACGTTGCGGGGTTTTCCAGAAAGGTAAACTTTGTCTTCTTTCGTGGCCTAGTCTGTGCCCCCTTTCGTTATAAATTGCACCTTCGCTATGGAAACTACTCCATCGTTTGGTCAATCGAAAACAAGTGTTACTTCAAAGTGAAGAAAGTCAAAAAAGAACAAGGGACGACTCATTTCGACACACTCTAGACCTACTATCCAAAGTCGGGATCATACGAAGTTTTCTTCTTTTGAGAGTAGCCCTGCAGCGTCACCGCAGAAGCAGTTGGCCNGGGGGGGGGGGTGCGACTCATTTCGTTACGCTCCAGACCTATCCAAAGTTGGGATCATACGAAGTTTTCTTCTTTTGAGAGTAGCCCTGCAGCGTCACTGGTGAAGCAGTTGGCCGACCGTACTGATCGGGTTCTACTCTTTAGAAACATATGGCTCGAGATGCTTCTCGCCCAATACATATCTTAATAGAGAAATCGGGCTCTACAGGGTTGCCAGCTCACTAGTAACCAGGAAGTAACACTTTTGATGACCCGATTTTCGAGGCTGGACTAACTTAGTATGTGGAAGCCGATCATCTTAACATAGTCGTTTGTCTGGAATAAAATAAATATGAAGGGAGTTGTAGCTAACCGTTAAATAACTTGTTGGCATATTTTAGAAACGTGGAAGTGGTGCCGAAATCATCCCGATTACAACGAACGAAACAACAACACCGGCAAGCACACCTTCAACAACACCGGCAGTACCTGGACCCATGGGACCATGGCCACCTTACGGGCCTAATATGCCATGGCCAATGCCTTTTCCAATGCCTCCCGGACCACCTTTTCCGCTACTACCCCCACCTATACCCGGTCCGTTTGGTCCTTATGGACCCGTGGGACCATGGGGTAGACCGATGGGACCAGGATTCGGACCGATGGGACCAGGTTTCGGGCCGATGGGGCCAGGTTTCGGGCCGATGGGACCAGGGTTTGGACCGATGGGACCAGGGGGTGGACCGATGGGACCAGGGGGTGGACCGATAGGACCAGGACCGATTGGACCGCGAGGTGGACGGCGTGGGCCTATGGGAAGGCGAGAAGGACGGTGGATGGCGCCGGCTGATAAATAGAGATTCTTCTACCAAGATATACCTAACGACGTCATCATGGCGATTTTATCTGATACGTGGTGGAATAAGTAATGAAAATTTGATATTCAAATGATTGCATAAAACAAGTACACGAGGATTGGGAGTAAGTGGCAGCACTGGCTCCACTGTATCTACATGAAGGAGGCTGTGTCGACTCTCAAACATCTTTAGAAGACTCAAAAAGAGGTGGAACTACTACCAGCAGTGAAACACCCTCTAAGGTGGTTAATTGTGAGAAGAGCTACTCTATGTCAAGATTATGATGAAAATGCTCCCTGATAATATAAACCATCATAGTTTCTCGAACATGCTCCGAGTAAGCCTATCTTCCCCACAGATGCCTTTAGACAAAAAAAAACGAAAACCACTAAAATCCCTTCTTCAAAGAGACTTTTTGTTCATCGAAACTTTCCTGATCCTGTTCCTAAGACATCACGAATTTACATTCTGTCGGTTCCCAAGATTCATTGCTTCCATTTTGCTCGTGGACATCCGGAATTCCCACATAGAATTTCATTTTCATGGTTTGTAAGCTGGAGTTCCCCGAGCTACTATTGAGTAGCGCCCAATCAACTGTAACATGTAGTCTCGATAACAGCCGAAGCGGCGATTTTGACTAGTTGTAAAGAAAAAGGTCCCTCAACTCTGTCCAGGTTCTGCAGAGAACTCAGGGGAAGAGTTTTACTTGGAGATCTGAAGGGAGGGAGCGGAAGGCTTTACGAGTCTGGTAGAAAACGATCCCTACTACTCAAGCAGTTGCAAAGGAACCCTTTAGTCATCGCTCCATCCTCAAAATGCTCTCAGCTTATCAAAGTGAAGCGTATCCGAGTTGACCCTTTCGAGTCTCTACAAAAATTGGCAGGGAGGACGTTGCGCTAGTGGGTCAACGACATATCGCTGACGCTGCGGCCAGTCTCCAAAGCTCCTTGCCGCTCCCTGGGAGCCTTCAAAGAACTGCGGAGGTGATTGCCAGTTCGACATCCAAACGGCTACCGTCGCCGTACACATCGCGACTATGGATGAGGAATTTGGGCAGCAGCGAAAGAAATTCCCAAGCCGGCGCTGACTGGCCTCTTCGATATGCAAGGGACTTACAGTCTGACGTTCCCTTACTTATTTGTCTTCGTTTTGCTGCTGTACTGTTGGAATTTCCCCATGAAATTTCAATGTCCCTGGTTTGTAGGCTAGAATTTCTCGAGCTAACGGTGAGTAATGTTTAACAAAGTGTAGCCCCAGTCCTGATAGGCCAAAGCAACGATTTTGATCTGTTGTCATGAAGTGAAAACCCCTGAGTTCTATTCGGGTTCCTGCACGAACGCAGGAGAAGAGTTTCACTTGAAAATCTGAAGGGATGAAGCGGAAGGCTCTGTCGGTCCTGATAGTGAATGATTCTAAGATTTATGCAAGTGCAAAGGAGCCCATTCCGCCATCACTCAACCCTAAAATGCTGTCTGCCCTCCCCGAATGTGAATCTCCCAACTATTGACCCTTTCGAGTCTTGACAAAAATTGGCAGGGAGGATACGCGTAGGGTCAACGGCATATCGCTGACTCGGCGCACATAAGCATCGCCTCCGAAGTTTCTTACCTCTCCCTGGGAACACTCGAAGGTCTGCTGAGTTGTTTTGTCAGTGCGACGTCGACACGGCCACCACCGCCGTACACAGCACGACTACGTATCGGGAATTTCTACGCGACGAGAGGGCAGCAGCGACGGGAATCCCCAAGCCAGCGCTGACTGGCCTCCCGATATGCAAGGGGCTGCGCACCTCCCCTTCCACTCCGCAACAACTATTAACTTGGAGAGAGTAACAACAAACAACAACAACGACAACAACAACAACAACAACAACACCAACAACAACAACAACAGTAAAACAAACAATAGAACAACAAAATACTCCACAGGAATATTAACAACCGATCGAATCAGAAGATGTAGGTATACTTATGGTAAAATTCGGTGATATTCCTGTATACTATGCAGTAACAATAACCACAAATGCACCGAAAATCTGTACCTCTGCGTTACTCTCTAATGTAGCCGATGGAAGGCCTGATGTCTGCTCTGCTCTCAACTCGTTCTCCTGTTCTCCCCTGCACTTCCATTTTCATTTTCCTGGGTCAACGCACGTAGTACCGCTGTGGGCCAGTATTTGGTGAAAAAACCTGCAGAGAAAAGGACCACACATCTAAGGATCTGCCAGTTCCAACTCAATCCATCTGGTTCTTCAAACACACATCTCTCTGGTCGTTCCCTCCAAGTGGTCGTCTTCCTGATTATAGCCTCGTGCAGCCCAGTTGTTTGACAGTTGTAATTATTGATGAATACTTAGTTTTACCAGTGATCATGTGATAAACTCGGTTTTGACTTCTTAAGAGTCTCATTTTTGGTTTATAGTTTGCTCTTTATAGAACTTCTTCTTCTTCTCATAAGTGAGTAATTAACAGTAAATAAATTATAGTTGATAAACAAACACACACCACTAGTAGCTTCACATACACCGCAACAAAATAAGTATAAATACGAAGTTCCCCGATGAGAAAGGGGTCATTTAAAAAATAGAAAATCGCAAGTTGTTTTACCAACACAGTAGACACATCTTTAGAACTTCTAGAAGGCTTCCTAATAAGGTCAATTTGACTAGATCAAATAAACTTTTTCTTTAAAAATACAATACCCGAACGTCAAGGGAGGACGCATTCTTCATCGATAGCTCCAAAGACTTATTTATGAAAAATAACAAATATCTCTAACGCTGTCTAAGCGATCGGTACCTATACAGGAAGGATGAGCACTATTGGAGTCATTTTTCACCTACACGATCATCACAGAACTGCTTGAACAGATTGAACCATGGGAGAGTTTCCTGTTAACTCTCTGGCTTGCGTACGCTCCCTTTCTCTGAGACTGGTCGTCGATAGGATGACTGCAGAGGGTCAATTACTAGTAGCCTTCGAGTTATCTGGCTTCTCCACTACAGCATCAAGTACTCTCCACAGTGTCTCCCTTCGTTTGACCGCTCATTTCCTGAAAAAATTGTTTACTTGTTTATTTATTCATCAGAAACACGGATATAAAACCGAAATCCTAAACAAAATTCTGATGACATAGATTCAGATGGCCGGAAAAGGGTAGTCTAGTAGACCTTGGAAGAAACAACTGCTCATAGCAACAGTTACAGCGCGACCCCTTCAAAACGCCTCCGCGTTCGAACTCCACACCATTTCCCACTCCACCTGCACCCCTTTTCCAGCCGCTTTTTCGGAATTGAAACTCCACCTGCACCCCTTTTCCAGCCGCTTTTTCGGAATTGAAGGACACTTACGAATTTTTGACATTTTTTTGTTTGGTGCTGATGGTTTTGCTTTGATTCCTGGTGGAAGTGACCATCACTTTTGACCAGTAACTATTTGCAGATATTTAATACAGAATGAAGGAACCTACAGTTATCATAGGTAAACTTACACTTTCATCCTCCACCTCTGTACACATCGGTTCAGGTTCGTAATGGAAATGAGGAGTATCCTTAAAAAAATAAATGAGTAATGAGAAATATATTGAAAAGCATGCTGATGTAATATCCCGCTAGAATAAATCTGTGGCCCCTCATACATCATATGTGGCGCTGTCGGGTTGAAGAACACTCTAGATAGGGCGTTATAAAGGCCTAAAAATTGTCCTGTATGTACGCGCGGACGACTTATCGCGGCATTGTAGAGGCTGCACCATTCACTAGGGAACCCATGTAGGAGGTTCATACAACTTGACATGATCCAGAGCGACAGCGAAAATAAATTCTGGACAGTCTTGGCTTGATAGTCAGCTCTTTGAGCAATTACAACAACTGAAACCCCATCCAAATACCCGTTCCACGTCATTTCCGCCATGGTAATCTCGTACAGTCGTTATTTTCACTACTTTTGTTAAACCTTTTTTCAAGAAATCGGCAAATTTTCTCACTCCCATCACCACCGATGCACTATTTCCAACCAATACTTCGCTGTTTGATTGAAAGTTTACCTCAAAATTATCGTCAACTGTGCCTTCAATTTTTGCGTACAACGAATCTACTTACATTATAAAAATTTCGATCAATCCGTATAGTGTCGGCTATAGACGTATATTCATCATGAAGCTGCCCATGTGAACTGAAAACAAGGACCGCTTGAATCAGCCTTTCATAAACTGCTCTCTTGCAGCTTTGTATTAGATAGGCAACAAACTGAATATATTCCTTGTAATCATGAGATACTCACAAGGATTCTCTCGAAACTGTTGTATGACAATCTTTCTCGTCCACATTTTCCGTCGGCATATGCCTCGAACGCTGCGTCGGCTCTTCTGAAAATAATTTTGAGTTCTTCCTCAGTACTTGGGAGACAACATCTTTTATACCTGAGGGTTTATAACGATAACTCATAACGGTCGCTGGGTGTGGACGTCGACGAATCCAGTAATGGGGCTCACATTATCCCCTATCTATTAAGATTTCGTCCCGACAGCGTATCTTGTGTACCTTTGGGGGCCACTGAGTAATTCTAGGAGGACGTCGTAGAAAGCAATTTTTATTGTGAACTTTGCCTTTAAGTTCATTATAGAGTATAAATGGACAAAGTTCGAATCCACTCGATTCAGCAGCACACGAGGTTGGAAATGACTCCGCCGGCCTGACTTCGGTGATTTCGCCTTTTTCAAAGCCTCAAATCCAATTTCAAGCTCCTCCGCTGTTGAATATAAAGTAATCGCACTGTGACTATGTTGAAGCTATTTATCCTCCCTGGCCTGCATGGGTCTAGTTAGGCGACTCCGAAGGCATGGATAGCCCCTCTGATCGGGGCGACTGCTGATCAGAGACATGACAAACCCGTAAAAAAAGCTCACCTGACCGAAATGCTACATAATAGAGGAAGAAGTTTTTAAAGTAGGAACAGAGAAGAAGCATACCATTTTTCTTTGCAGTCCCTCCATTTTGATCGACAAGATCAAAGACTATAGAAGGCGCCATGACGTTCGGTTCTTCAGCGATTGTTACTCGTGGCGTCGTTCGTTGACGAATTGGTGATGACTTGGAGGGAACTGCAGCAAGCGACTGCAATCAGAAGAGCTGTGGTTCGTTCCCAACTGCTGCCACTTTGAGTTCTATTTTTTAAACTTTCGTTAATCGTGTAACTACGTTACCTTGACACTTACTTGTTGCCTTTTCATCCGCTGTTACAATAGGTAAGTAAATAAACAAATAAATAAATAAGTAACTGCTGCAGGTGTCGCCTTGTAGGGCCTGTTCACTCGAATTCAATGCAGAAGAAAGCACCTACCATGTCAGCAAATGTGACATCTGGTGGGGTACGCCGTCGTTTCTTTTCGTATTTCTCTGACTTAGGCTCCTCTTTGGATTGAGGAAAGCCCAGTTCCTTAGGAGGAGGGGATCCTGGAGAACTTGGAGAGGAATCAACTGACACGGTGCCCTTCTGTTGGGCCCTTAGTAACTGTTCCAGCCGAGTGTTCATAACCTTCAAGGCTTCCATCTCTTCTTTCTGAAAAGCATAAAACTACAGCACCAAGCAGAACTATAGGGCACGGACTTTGAAGACACAGTTCACGATAATCTTTAGGTACCCCTCTTCAGTCGA